TATAAACAATGAAGTATCAATAGTAAAAAGTAGATTTTTTTTTTTTTAACAACGTGCTGTAAAAAGCAAGAATAAAATTCACCCTAAAGCCTTCTAAACATCCAAGAGTTCAAAATAAAAGTGGTTTTTTGCACACCCATCAGTAAAACCACTCATACATGAGATTTCTGGGGCACAAGCTTTAACCTGAGAGTCATTTAAAATGCTTCCCGGATGAGAAGTTATTCTCACACTGTTTTCATATGAAAATACAAATGACTGTTAAGGGACAACTGCGTGGTACTCTGCCACCTCTGGAGTTCACTCCTCAGTAACGAGAACCAAAGGCATGGCTATTGGGTAAATTAGAAACTGGTCCAAGTACAGCTAAACTGGCTGCAAAAAGACTTCTTTTGAAAAAAAAATATTTGTAACAAGTGATGTTCATTTTTATAGTAAACAGCAGGGTCTTCTTACACATTCTTGGAAGATGTGTCGTGCTATGGCAGTTGCTTATAAAACCCAGTAAATGAGGTAATGTGCCAAACTTCATCTGAAACCAAACCATCTTTTGTTTCCCTGGTTGATGACATTAAATAGGACAGAAATGGCTACCTGCACTAGGAGTGTTCAAAGACTAACCTTTTTTTTTGCCATTAAAATATAAATTCAATTAGTTACTTCCATGCTTAAACAGAACTGCCGCTGCTGAAATTGTATTCTAGCGATAATTGCAATCCAAGAGTGATCTAATTATATACAAGTCTCAGTGGCTGCATTCCCACGTTGCTTCCTACAACCCGGATTCACTACAATACAACTTATAAGCGAAAACCACATCGTTTGCAATCATTCTCCCTTAAGACTACATAACTTTATATATGTTTAATGAGAACGGAATTTAGTAAGCTTACTATAAAAATGTGAGTTTCTACCTACCGTTAAATACAAAAGAATAGAAAGGCACTTCAGCTGCATGTAAAAAACCAGCTGATGGGCTAAACTGTACAAGGGAAAGAACATTCTTTTAATTAAGGTACTGGATTAGGATTCAAGTACCAGCTTTACTTTTTGGCTCTGCCACCAGCTTCCTGTGTGACCCAGGGCAAGAAATTGCATCGCTCCACAGCTCGGGTTTTCATCTATAAAATGGACAGTGACATTTCCTTCTCCCGGTCTCTCTGCATTTCGGTCGTAAGCAGTTACTGTGCGCTGGCACGTTGCCTTGGACGGTAAGTATCCGATATTAATTGAAGCCTCTGGGTAGTACTCCAAGAAAAAGCTAAAATCGACTCGTCTCCCCTTCACAGGATCCTAACGGAGTTTTGTATCGCCACCATTTACCGCTACTGCAATCTAACACATTTGTATCCCTGAGCAAAGCCCTGCATACAGCCTGCTTAAGCTCCTGTTTTGAAATGGAGGAGGAGGAGAGAGGAAAAGGCAGTCGATTGGGGTATCCCGAACATCTAAAGAACAACTTTGTCCAACACAGAATATCCTGGCCAACTCGACTGGACAATTCCCCACTAACGCTGTCAATGTGCACAAGTATCCTGCGCAATACAGAGGGGCTGCCAACGACTTGCTGCTTTTTTCTTCAGTATTTTCTACTCCCATTGTAAAAAATTCAGTGCAACGGTTTTGCCAGGTTTGTAAATTTGAATGAGACCATCTGAGCTGAGTTGACTATTTTAAGAGGGTTCTTGCAAGTAATTACAAGGTAAAAACGAGAATACTTCACACCTACATTCTGACTGAAAACTACTCAGCCCTGCTGGCTCCAGGCTTTTAATTGTCAAAAGAGTTCAAGGTTTGGAAAGTTATTGGCATCAAGTAATACTGGATATTCCTAACTAGCATTGTGTCATTATTTGGCACGATTTTTGCTGGGATACCTCCCAAATCTGTGACATAATCAGAGGGTTCTCTACATTACACCATATAGTCAGATGCTCATGTTAGTGTAATATGTTACCATGTTTAATACCATTTGCTATTACTTACACTTAATCAACTCTGGAACCAGTTAAACCATATAAGAAAAGCAATTTCAGAGGCTTTCAACTGACAGTTTTCCACACACAACTTGATCTAAAATTACGACCTGAAGTTTGTAAGATGCGGTCTACATACGCAATTGCCTCTAAATAAACAACCATAACTCTCCACAACCCTGTGGGAACTGAAAATTCATATGAAAACAGGAAAAAAAAAAAAAAGCACAAAATTAACTTCTGTAGAACTCTCTTAACTAGAAAAACTGTCAGAGTTTCCCCTTCTGGCCAGTCTTAATTTACTGCTTCAGCAATTTTATGCCCAACCTTCACAATTATTACAAGCTTTCAGCAACACAGAAATGGCTGAGCTCTCTAACACCAAGCCCCCTTTTAGGTTAAAGTCCTAATGCAGTATCTCTTGAAAGACTCACAGTAAATTCAACAGAGGTATCTTAGGCTGCGCATTCCCATACATATGTTTTCAAAGTAAACTAACAATTACACCCTTTAACTCATCAAATTCAATTCAAAACGGAAGTAAAATGATTAAGTACGCAGAACTCCAAAATAAAGGTCGTGACTTGCAAAAGTCACTTTTGGACTTCTGGTTTCCTATCTCACAGGGCCCAAGCATCAGAAAATGCTCAATATTCACCCAGAGAAAATGAGGGCACCTTTGGGTGCCATCAGCTGGGTATCCAGCACCCCAAATCACTAGTCATTTTTGAAAAAACTCATTATTTACTTTTCTGCCTCTATACAGGCAAGGAATAGACATTTAAATAAATGACATAATCCTTATTACCATTCCATTCATTCATGCAGGTCACTATAATTTACTGCCAGGAAAAATAAACTTCTGCATAATATTCCTCAATGTAAGACATTCAAAAGGCTCAAAGGGGGAGAGGAGGTGCGAGGGCTTCTGACAAATATTTGCTCAAGTGACCGCATCATCTATGAATACATTTGCTAGAAAAAATGGGTGAAGAAGTTTACGGTCAACATGAAACATGCCAGATTGGGACTGGGGTGGTAACGAGGAAAAGGAGCAGGGGACAGAGAAGGGAAGGGGAATTTTTAACCAGTTTTGTTTCAGCAAGGAAAACTCCCAATATTGCAAAACTGGCTTTTTCCTCTCATGTAGCCTACTGAAAAACAGTTTTAAGCAAAACCAAAGTTGAGCCTATCTAAGCTCCCTAAAGGATTAAGGAAAAAAGACCCAAACCCCAAAAAATCTCCTCTGTAAATCGAGCCTCATCCCTGGCAAGCCCAAGCGAGCAGCCCGCGCCCTCCAGCAAGGTGCTCAGCAGAGGACAGAGGCACGCAGAACACAATTTACTACCATCTCTGGCAGCCGTTGCCGCTGCACCCTCCATAAACTTTGTTTAAACAAGTGTTCAAACAAAAATGGCTTTGCCAGTCGCTCGGTTCACCTCAACAATACCCATACCTCACTCTACTGAGGATAACAAAATATTGCCGGGGCTATAAAAATCTTCACTGCTTTCAGTGTTGACTACCTAAAACCAAATACAGGTGAGCTGGGTGGTTCACAGACTGGCTTTGAAGACTTAAATGTATCGGGGCTGGTGGTAGGGCTTCAGTCAGATGGCATCCCCATCACAAAGCTATCTTTTTCCTCCTCTGCTCCATGAAGGCTAGCTCTCACTGGCATTTTCGTGGGGAATGTTTTAATTTCTAGATGCCCGAGAAGCTGACACTTGTTTTCTTTTGGATTTGGGGGTTTCCACAGATTTAAGTGGTCCCAGACAAAATACTTCTAAATACTTTTTAATACTTTTAAAAAGCATCCAAAACAATGCGAGAGATGCATTTTTATTGAAGCAAAAACCAATCAAGAAATAGGGAAATGAAAATTTTGTCACTGTTTTGGTCATATAAACACAAACTCACGGTAAGATTCTTCATAGAAGATAAGTTGGGCTGTCAGTCACCAGCCAAAACCAGCTTACAATAATCAAATTCATTTTTGCTTTCAATACTGATTGATTAAAAGTTTTATTCACAGAGCTTGTGACACTCACAAGCCTGGAAAGAGCAAAGCCCATTCAAGACATACTTCAGATACTGCAGCTCAGATCCCCAAAGGTACTACCAGCAGGTCCTATTGTAACAGCCAAACTGCTTACTTTTGGACAACAATGCCTCCAGAGTCAATAAAACTGCTCACACCCATCCAGGCTAATCAGCAAGAGTAGGGGTGAATGGAATTGGTTCCTGAGATTTCAAGCCCTAATTTAGCTAAGCACTTAAATAAATACGTGTAAGCCTTATTAAAGTCAACAGGGTTTTGGTATTATTAAGTTAATATTACTAAGCATGTGCTTCATAGTCCTGCTGAGTCACAGCTTTGCTACTACTAATAATTCAGACAGCTTTTTAGAATTCGTCCTCAAGTAAAAAATTTCTTCACAATTTTTTTCGCCTATGTTCCAGGGGCTCCCCATAGCCCACGGAATGGGCTAAGGTCAGATCTCTGTTATACTGCTGTGAATGCAAAGTACCTTTCCTGAAGCTCCAGATGTCTGTTTCACCAAAGTCAATATCTAGCTTTTCATTAAAAAAAAAATCGTTTCAGCTACAATAACAATCCAAAGGATCACTTGACAGTTTTCATAACTGCAGTTATTAAAATTTGTGTTAGTACTGTTGTACAAGTAATAATTAAATTGTAATACTAATGATTAAGATTGCATCAGTATTTATTATTTGTTCATCATGGTAAGCTTGTAGGTGTATCACAGCAACAAGAACTCACTTGCACATATGGATATTACACCTTCGCCAAGGCATGGGTAGATTGGTCCTACAGACACGAGTGAGACAGATGAATATATAGTTATGTAGCAATTAGTTATGTAATGAAATCTTATCTTTAGACTACTGTGAAATCATCTTCAAAATTAATGCAAAATGTATCAGCTTAGTTCTAAATGTTTTAATAGAGAAACTCATTAATTAAAAACATCATCTTACATGTGACAGAGTTTTACTTACCAACAACGTCGAGATGGTACGTGTGATTGATGGATCCGTACTGGTTTTCCACTATGCACGTATAATTTCCTTTGTCGGACGGGACCACGCTCTCCATGATGAGACTCCAGTGCTGGTTGCGGACCTGGCGAGTTGTAACCAGAGAGGTTGGGAACTTCACTAGCATAGTTCCACCCTCTCCCCCTCCAAAAGAACTGTTTTCTGAATAGTTAATCTTTTGCAAACCATGTTTAAAAGCCTCTTCTGTGCTCATTCGACAGTTCTGGACACTGAAATACTTTATTTATTCCTGATCAGGTACAGCACGGCTGCAGTAGTGAAAGGTTTCACACATTCTGCTATGAATTTACCTCGTCCCTGATCTGAGCACAGCAGACGTTGGTGCACACTCAGTCCTACCAGGCTTAGGAGGATGGCACTAATCAGCACCAGTTGTCTTACCAGGCTTTACCTCTCAATCCACTCTAAAGCAAATTCACACCCTCAAGATATTTCCCATCTATCTCCAAACAATCATCTGATAACATTAACTACCCACCAGCAATATGGGATGGATATGATCCCCTAACATCTAAGGCTCTGTCTTTCTCTAATAGCTCAATTACACAGCCCGCATTTCGGAGAAACAAAGTACAGAAGGGCAATGTTTGGGATCCCTCCCACAGACACATAAAGCGGCCACATCTCTGGGGTACCACAAGAAAGAAATGAAGATGCTGCGTCATGAAAAATGCCTGAAGAAAATCTTCACGGAAACAGAGCATAAGGATATACATTTATTTCATACAATCCTTCTCAGACAGAATGTATGAAAGGTGCTGATTCTGTTCCCATTTGAACTCAAAAGGAGCAGAAAACAGGATCCAGCCCAATACTGGAAGGATATAGAGTCATCCAGTACACATATATATTTCCTGCATCATAAGTTGGCTCCCAAAGTGACCTTTTGCTGGCTATCCACTAATCCCTTGTTTTAGCATTACATTTTTGACAAAGCACTCAAAGATCTTAACATCATGTAGCTGTAATATACAACTTTTAAACTGCAAAGTACATATTTTAGCAAATGGAATAAAAATACAATCTGGTACAGTCATTTTAATCAGCCAAATGGAAAGCAGTAATTCAGTGCAGTACACCAGAAAAATTTATGGACCATTCAGTGACACTTCCAGTAACTATACATTCTTAAAAGATCATTACAGCTATAGGTCTGAAATCCTGCTTCGTGCCTGACTTGTGTAGGTCCTTATCCAGCAGGAAAAGGTATGCAGGGCTGCGTCCCCGGCGCCAAGAGCTTAGCTCTCACACTTGCTGGAGATAAAAATGCCTTCAGTTCAAAGCTTGGAAGAAGAGAGTCCTCTCTGTAAGGGGCTCCTGGCTTTCCTACTCCCCCCAGCTAATAACTAGCTCATTAGCTAGTTATTACTATTACTGTCCAATTATGGGCTAATAATATCAGCTAATGACTGGCCGAGCGGGCTTTGAAAAACAAAGAAAATGTAGATGAGACTCCAGCAGCAGCTGAAGGGCATGGATGCTAATCAAATGTCGCAGAAATGTGTGACATGACCCCAAAATCTCCAGCCCAAACTTACAGCTCCTCTCCCCAGTCCCCCGTCTTGATGGTATACATCAAAACTATATATTGATTTTTTTTTTCATGCTATGAAGAGCTAAGAAATAAGCTTATACAGCTAGAAAGAGTTTATCAGGGTTATTTTATTGTGTTGTTATTCTGCTAAGCAACCTTGAAAGTCAAAGTTTGAGTCAGGAAGAATTACCGTCATAAAACACTGGTAAGTAACAAATACAACAGCTACATATTTTGAATATTTTACTTCTTTATGAGCTATTTTGGGGGAGACTTGGTCAAAGTGACCTGAACTTTTTGCCATTACAAGTTACATCACACTTCTCAGAATCAGAGCAAGTGTTTTTAACCTATTTGACTGCAAAACAGGAAGAACAGATCACGGTTCCACGGAAGTTAAAACAAAATAAAAATTGGTAACAAGCTGTAAGTAATTAATTTGATAGGAAAACACACGAGGTTGTTTAGCATTCAGTAAGAAAACATAACTAACTTACAGCCACAAGTGGATATACTGGATGGCAATATTAAAAAGTATTTGTGCAATTTCCCTTCTTGTAACTCCAACGAGAAGAGATACCATCTTTATAACAAAACAACAGCTTAAGCCTCTTCAGTTTAAGCTAAACAACTGCTGTAGAGGCCCAAAGCATTTATGACACATCGTCACACAACTGGATTTATGTCATGAATCTGGATTCAACTAGGTTCAGCTTGTTGGCTTATTGCTTTCTGGTTACAAGTGCAGCATTGCAAAGCCCAGAAAAACTCCCCTTTGCTGGGGATGACGGCATCTTCTCCCACTGATGACTCCCAAATTGAACCTTCAGTTCTCAGACATGCGACAGTCCTGCCACATCCCTGCAACCACACAGCTTGCAACACCCTGATCGTACAGGCTTTGTTAACGTGGCCTTTTTAAGTAACGTGCCGTCACTCCCTATAAAGCCTGTCTTTGGGCAGCAAAACTGCCGCTACTGACAACCAGCACCAACATCACACCAGTTGATGTAAAAGCTAGTTTCAAAAGAGGAGAGGTTCAATGCGTCCGCAGCACACAGGTCTTACACCAGCCTTCTGCGTAAGGATGAACTACAATAGTGATATTCATTTGGGGGGGTGGGGTGGGATCAAACCAAACAAAAAAACCCCACCCTTGTGACTGAAGTTGCAAATAGATGGTCTTTTTGGTAACACAGGTTAAAGCCATTAGCTCCCTCCTGGTTGCTCACTAGAGCCCTTCTAACTGAAGACACCAGTGCTACAGCTCTCCAAATATTCCCTAATAAGTTTCTCTGGGTGATACCAACTGGGTCCATTTTAGCTGTTTAAATAGATGACTTGAGCTCATCTGGCAGACAAAACATATTGGGGAGCTCATGTGAACTAATCCACTAGGAGAAAACATGAGGGCAGCAACAAACCAATGAAAGCAGAAGCATCCTCATCAGGCACATGGAGTCCAGCAAAGGAGAAGTGTCCACAGCCAGAGATTTATCAGTTGTAGGAAACTCTTCCAGCTCTCCAACCTGACTAGCTCCTTGCCAGCTATTATCCTGTTATTTCCACTATTTTGTTCCCTGAAGCCCTACATCATATTGAGTTCTTCCGAAATCCTGGAGAATACCCACACAGTTCCACCCACCCCATCACCCGGTCTTCAGGGTATCCCTTCCAATTTGTCATTGCCTTTTCTTGATATAGGGAAATTCAGGGAATAACCGCATTCCAAGCATCCCGAATCACAGCTTTACCCTTCAGATACTTTGTCACCACAGTTTAGTAATTGCTTTTGCCATCTTTTTTTTTTAATTGATTTACAATACTTATTTTCATGTTTTATCTGTGCTTTATACCCAAAAATGGTACTTCATTTGCAAAAGGATTGAGATAATAAATATAATCTCAACATGGTTGTTTTCCTGACTAGTTACGGACTAGCAAATTACTGAGGTGCTTTTTCTGGCCATCTTCTCCATCAAATTTTTAATCAATTCTTCCAAACAGTTTCTCCAAACAATTCAATTTTTAAACTAAATTATCAATATCAAATGTGTACAACTGTACCCTTAAGATATAGGTTGGAGGTGGGAAACCTAAACTGGAATCAAAATGCCAAGAAATATTAGTCAGAAATCTAGGAAAGGGCAAGTAGTGTTTCATAGAAATGTTTTGCTTTTGGAGTATCATATAAAAAATGGTGGACAGTTGAGTTTAATTTTAAAATACGTGTCTTCAGTGAACAGATACATCATGAAAAGTTGTCACTTAGTGAAAAATGGTAAAAAGGGGTCAATTTTAAACAAATTTCAAAAGAAAGAAGGACTAGAAACCAAAATATGATTCCCCACAAAATCAGCACAGTTCAGACATATACTGTACTGCTCATACAGAGAGAACAAGTGCAGAACATCCATACAAAAGCCACAGTTCGTACACAGTCAGAACTCTTTCTTTACTCTGTGTTTACCTGGCTGAATTTAAATGTGTATGAGGCAACTGTAGTGATGAAGCTTACCAAAATGCATATAGAATCACAGAATCATTTAGGTTGG